ATATATATATATATATGAACGCTTTCACTGCCACAAGCGCAGCTGGGTGCTATATTTGGCATAAGTTGTTTTTCAGTTGGCCAGCATTGATTACTATTCGTTTCAACGTTCGACGACCATGGTTGTTAGTCTGATATTATTGCTGGTATTAGGATTGACAGAATGGAGCACATTGGGATAGTGGGAGTATTTCGAAGTTATGAGGTGTGAAAAGTGAGGTGGAATAATATTAGTACGAGAAAACTTGTACTCATCGGTTGATTAACGTATAAATACTTCTGGAAAGACCCGCGAAGAAAAGTTTTTTGCACTTTGGTTGATGCGTCTGCTCTACTTGAAAGCTTTTTTGTAACAATGCACAGCTGATGCACGTCATTAAACGTACGTGCTGAAACCGTTACTGTCTCTGAGCTCGACGCGCATCAGTTCAGCTGTGACAGGCCTCAAACACTGGCCTTTCAGGTTGTTAGTTTTTTTCTACAATTCAGAGCTCATTTCTTCGTATCTTTCAGCACGTAAAAATGTTTTTGCAAGCCATTCTATAGCTACGATTACAAAAATGTGTAACCTTAAAGTGAGGCTATTGTTACGTATATTGATCTATATACCTGCACGTACACCGTTGAAAAGCGTGATCTATTTATATCATAAACCAACTCATCTATTGGGTAAATTTCATATTATCGCTTACGCACGTTATCCCCACAGCGTTGCAATGTCAGTTGGGATGTGCTGCCGTTCTTCTTTACTTCGAGCTAATATGTTAAAAAAAAGATACTCAAAAAGCTTCACGATATACCAGGAAGATAGAACTTCACGAAGATATGATACCTCTTACGTGAAAATTGACTAATTCGTTAGAAACTTCGTACAGCTTTTGAGTCTCTTGCTTCGAAGCTGCCGTCGGCCTGTACAAACCCGAAAACTTTATGAGGAAAGCAATCCTTGGATACGTTACGTATTTTCCTCGAGGTCTATTAAATATAATCATCTTTTGGAACGTTGATTTGGTGCCTAAACAAATAAAGAAAAAATCTCGTTGATATATCGTACATATAACAATATGATCGAAAATGCACCGTATCAAATCAATAAATCAGAAACTATCAAGTATGTTCATCTCGTATAGGCCGGTAATACTG